AAGCATCCCTGGTCTCGACTCGGTAGACGCCAATAGCATTTCCCTAACGGTGACCAACGGTGTCTCTAGACGTTGCCAGATATCCCTTGGACATAAAATCACCCTGGTTGAGAACCACTGAGTTAGATGCTATTAGATGATAAACAGTTTATAATTTTCCGGGCTGGAGTGAGAGTCGGGGCTCTGCTATCTCCTGGCACCTAGCCCCGTGTGTGGCATTGTGGCAAGCATTCAGTACAAGCTCAATGAGTGAGGTGAAATACACAGTTCCTTCCAGTTCTAGATCAGTTCTTTGGCAGCAAGAGAATCGCGTAGATGGTGATGATCTTATCACCCATGTGACTGCCTCTATTTGTGTACTGTTTAACATTCCTGGATGGAAATGGACTAAAAATACCGTCCGGCGCTATGACAAAATTAGGTCTGAAAAAAAAAATTAGGTCTGTCTGGCAGTTTAGCAACAAATAGTGACTATAATCATCAAGGAGGGTCCACTCAATTCGGACAGCGATCTCAGATCGTGTCCCCTGAAAGTTAACTCTGAATTTCATGAATATGACAAAAAGTTCAGTTGAGAAAAATGAGTCCAGATCTTGGAATATCATGATCTGAACCGAAGTCAGACACTTATCCAGCTGAGCCACCCATGTGCCCTCAGCCTGTTTTTTTCAAATGGAATTTTACTGGAACACCGCCATACTCATTTGCTGACAGATTGTTTAGGGCTTCTTTGATACAACAATGGCAAAGTGGAATCCTTGGGACAGAGAATCTATAGCACATAAAGTCCAAAGCATTGACCATGTGGCCCCCTTATAGAGAAGCTTACTGACCCCTCTTGCAGAGCGCAAGTTTTCTCAGGGATGCACTGTTGCACAGTAGTAAATATGCTTATATTTCATGAGTGTGTGTTAGGTTGCGCCATATTAAATTGTCATCTGTGTAGGTCAAAATGGTCAGATATTGGCACTTATGTGTATGGTCCAGATAACATAACTTTCCAAGCATAGAAAAATGAATGGAGTACAGTCTGTGCCCTTAAGGACACACACACAGGTACACACGCACATGCACACATGCTGCTGCTGTCAGTGAATGTAGGAATTATTATACTGAAGGCACAAACTCAGTATTTCAGGAGCACAGAGTAGCGTGTGCACGATTCTTACCAGTAAGGGTGAGGGAAAGGGACTAGGAGCTTGCGAGGCCTCCAGAGAAGTGGCTCTGTTTCTGGCTGCTGTGCATTTGAGCTGTACTTCATGGCACTTTTACGATTCGTGTCGGGTCAAATAAGCGTTTTCCAGAGTTTTCCTTGGGTGGGGGTGGGATTGACATTGAGCTATACGAAACATTCTGCATTCCTTTCGTTCAAGCACAATTGCAATACATTCTGAAAAACAGTTGGAATTAG